GAGTTCTCTCAGGATATAGTCAACCAAAAAGGTAGATGCACATTGTTATTATGAGTAGCCCAACTAATTCTTTTTATGTTATCTTAGAATAGGTATGAGATTATACAGTCTAAAATAACATAAAAAGAATTAGTTGAGCTATTCATAGCAACAAGGTGCATCTACCGTTTTGGTTGACTATCCTGAGAGAACTCCAAAGTTAAGCGTGCTGACTCTGGAGCAATCTCAAGATGGGTGACCTACTGGAAAGTGTCTCGGTATGCGTGTGAGTGAGGACAATACATGCTGAAAGGTCCCGGGTTGCTGTGTGGGGGCAGTTTCGACAATTCGTAGCGGTCACGGGTCGTTACAGCTATGAGTGCAAAGGATATGGGCACACGAAGAATGAATGTGCAATTGGAAAAACAAGAGGTAAATCTCTGATCACTCATGAAGAGATTGATACCGATTCTGATGAAGAAAGTGGAGAAGAGATGTCAAATTTCGTTGCATTCATTGGAATAATCGAAGAGACTAAAGAAGAGATATCCGAAGAAGATCTGTACAAGGATATGTCAAGGTTGTACGACATCAACACAAGATTGATCAAAGAACAGAAGGAGAATGAGGCCAAGATCTTGGAAATCAAGGAGCAGGTGGATACGAAAGTATCAGAAGTTGATGATCTGAAGAAGCAACTAAAGGAGAAAGAGGAGAAGATTATCTTATTACAGAATCAATTGGAAGGTACCATGAAGAATGTGAGAATGCTTGGCAATGGCACTGCAAAATTGGATCACTTACTGACAATCAGGCGAACAGATTCTGGACATACTGCTTGGATATACTGGAGGGAGTAGAAACAAAGTAGGAAATTTTGTTTCAGGAGGAAAACTTGGAGATGAAGTGATCTCACAAGTAAAACAGACTCCAAAGATCAAGATTGATCTATATCCAAGACGAAGACCGCAAAACTATCGCGAGCATCGCACTTGTTTCTACTGTGGAACAAGAGGTCACATCAGAATCAATTGCTACTGCTGGTAAAATTATCAGGTACCACCCACTCTGAGATGGAGGCAAGTCTGGAGAAGAAAAGATGTCTCAAGGTGTAATGTGGCATACACTTATGAACTAAAGACAAGCGAACAACAGTGGTATTTTGACAGTGGATGCTCACGTCATATGATAGGAGATGTCAGTATGCTGTCTACATTCGAAGAAAATCTCAAAGGAGGGAACGTGACATTTGGAGATGGAAGAAAAGGAAAGATCTTGGGCAAAGGAAATCTGGATGCATCAGGGCTGCCCAAACTTACAGATGTCAATGTTGTCCAAGGACTCAAGGCAAATCTCATAAGCATCAGTCAACTATGTGACTCGGGATTTCAAGTAAATTTCACTAAAGATGCTTGTGTTGTTATAAACCTTCTTGGAGATTGTGTGTTGACAGGAAAAAGAACTCCAAGTAATTGCTACACTTGGGTAAATCCTGACGAAAGCACTCAAAGTGGGAAGTGCTTCACAGCAGCTGACTCTGAACTCGAGTTATGGCATCAACGATTGAGACACATTAACACAAGGTCGTTGGTGAAACTGTCAAGATCAAATGTTGTACGAGGATTACCTGAGTTATCACAGTAGGTAACACTGGTGTGTAAAGCATGTCAACTTGGAAAGCAGATCAAGGTGAATCATAAAATGATTGATGGGATACACACATCTGAAATCCTTGAGCTGATGCACATGGATTTGATGGGACCAATGCAGATGGAGAGCCTTGGAGGAAAGAGGTATGTGTTTGTATGTGTTGATGATTTCTCACGTTTTACTTGGGTCAGGTTCTTAAGAGAGAAGTCAGAAACATTGGGTGTATTCGAACACTTATGGTTGCAACTCCGAAATGGAAAAGGAAGTGTTCAGAGAATTCAGAGTGATCATGGGCGTGAATTTGAGAATGAACAGTTTGCGGAATTCTGCAATAAATATGGGATTATCCACGAGTATTCTGCACCTAAAACGCCTCAACAAAATGGAGTGGTTGAAAGGAAGAATAGGACACTGCAAGAAATGGCGAGAACTATGTTACATGCAAGAAACGTTGCAAAACGTTTCTGGGCAGAAGCGGTAAGTACAACATGTTACCTAGTTAACCGAGTTCATATCAGACCAGGCACAACCAAAACTCCTTATGAGATCTGGAAAGGTAAGACCCCTCCTCTAAAGTTTGTTCATGTATTTGGTTGTCGATGTTTTGTATTAAATGATCGTGAATACAGAGGGAAGTTCGATGCCAAAAGTGATGAAGGTATATTCTTGGGATATTCAATGAACTCTGCTGCCTATAGAGTGTACAATTTGCGTACTAGAACAATTATGGAATCAGCTAATGTTGTGTTTGATGAGGAACATAGTGCAGAGCAGGGTGAAGTCCCGCCGAAACTACTTCAAGATGTTCCCAGTGAGCACTCGGTAGAACAATAACAGAGTGATGATGCAGAAGTTGAAACCAAGGAAGAGGAAGAATTGGAAACTGTTCCCACACCTACAGTTCACAGGAATCATTCTGAAGGAGATGTGATTGGAAATGTCCTAGATCCTATGCGTACAAGAGGTAAACGAATGAATTATCAAGATATGGTACATTTTGTGTGTTTTTCTTCGCAGAATGAACCATCCCGGGTGGATGAAGCATTGAAGGATGAATTCTGGGTGAAGGCAATGCATGAAGTACTGGAACAATTCATGAAAAATGATGTGTGGTATCTTGTCCCCCGTCCAGATCATACTAATATGATAGGAACGAAATGAATTTTCAAGAACAAGACAAATGAATCGGGAGAAGTAGTTCGCAATAAAGCCAGGTTAGTTGCTCAAGGATACACACAAGTAGAAGGTATTGACTTCGATGAAACCTTTGCACCCGTTGCTCGTCTTGAGTCTATTAGATTATTGTTTGGCATTGCATGTTTCCTTGGTTTTAAGTTGTTTCAGATGGATGTCAAGAGCGCCTTCTTAAATGGTGTGATCCAAGAAGAGGTGTACGTCGAACAACCAGCTGGTTTTGAGGATCCACACTTTCCGACTCATGTGTACCGGTTGAAGAAAGCTCTCGATGGGTTGAAACAAGCTCCTCGTGCATGGTATGAAAGATTAACCAGTTTTCTACTCGAGAACGGCTACAAAAGAGGGGGAGTAGACAAAACACTTTTCATCCATAATTCGGACGATGTACTATTAGTAGTACAAATTTATGTGGATGATATTGTGTTTGGGTCCACATTTCAGTCAAAAGTTGACTAGTTTGTTCAGACAATGACTTATGAGTTTGAGATGAGTATGTTTGGAGAACTCAGTTACTTTCTAGGATTACAAGTCAAGCAAGGCAAAGATGGAATCTTTGTTTCTAAAGGGAAGTATGCTTGGAATCTGGTGAAAAGATTTGAACTCGACACGTGCAAATCAGCACGCACTCCCATGTCGATAACCACTAAGTTGACCAAAGATGATGAAGGAGAAGATGTTGATCCAAAACTCTATAGGAGTATGATCAGAAGTCTACTGTATCTAACGGCAAGTAGACCTGACCTGTGCTTGAGTGTGGGTGTATGTGCAAGATATCAAGCAAAACCTAAGAAGTCTCATCTCCTAGCAGTAAAAAAGATAATCAAATATGTCAAAGGGACAGTTGATTATGGGCTTCATTATACAAAGGATACGAGTACGCATCTAGTAGGATACTGTGATGCAGATTGGGGAGGAAACACGGATGATCAAAAAAGCACATCAGGAGGGTGTTTCTTTTTGGGTAACAATCTCGTATCATGGCACAACAAGAAACAAAATTCAACGTCACTATCCACTGCTGAAGCCGAGTACATCGCACTGGGAAGCTGCTGTACTCAACTAATGTGGATGAAACAAATGTTGACTGATTATGGAATTGACACTCACTCGTTTACTGCTCATTGTGACAACAAAAGTGCAATCAACATCTCTAAGAATCCAGTACAACATTCATGAAAAAAGCATATAGAGATAAGACATCATTTCCTCAGAGAGCAAGTGGAGAAAGGGAGTCTTCTGATTGAGTATGTACCCACTGAACATCAATTAGCTGATATATTTACTAAACCACTTGACATGAATAGATTTACCTGTTTGCAAAAATCTCTCGGTATTGCAAATTTTTTATTTTGATCACTAATTGAGTTTGTTCTGAAGTGTTTAAAGTGAAACAGTGTTGAAAGGGCGGTCAGTGGTACCTCACAAAGTGGTCAGGTGCACTTCAGATATTGGTAATACGAAAATCCCCTGGTACTCCTCTGTCAGCATACACTCAGTAAAAAGTGAGTGAATGTTGGTACTATGTTCCAACTACGCATTAAAAAAAAAGGCTGATATGAGTAGATTATTAAAATCGCTCGGGTTTAAGTTAAACCATATACAGTCCATTCGACGGTCTAAGATCAGATGATACTCATTCATCATACTCCGCTGTAAGTTGACACTTTACAAGAGTATATCTCAGTGAGATAGGCTGGACTTAAGTAGTGAAACAGTATGATTGGACTTAACATCCTAGAAGTTCAGGCGGATTAGTTACGAGAAATATGTATTCCTGTTGGGTGAAGTAAGCACTGGACGAAGAGTGAGGTGTCATTGACTCAACTGGATACACTGCGAACCGAGGTACGAAAGAATAAACTTCTTTGGTGTTAAAATCGTAATTTTATCGCGTAACGGATTTCTGTTTTAAATGTTTTTAAACGTTATTTCTCGAAATGATTGATGTGAGTGGTTGAGTAAATTTTCGGTTATAGGGAAGTGGGATCCGAAAAATCAGAGATTTCCCAAACAAACCCATTGCCCCACAATAAAAAGAAGTGTTTCTCTCTCTATCCCTGCGAAGTTCTGAAGCTGAAAAAACCCTAAAATCTGGGAGACTGATTCGCAAGAGGAGTGTGAGGTTCAACAGAGAGTAACGAAGAGAGAGTAAAATCCCTAGATTCAGTCTCAACATGGATCCAAAAGAAAAGAGAGAAGAAACAGGTGAGGATCGTCACCTAGAATCAGAGGAAGGTTCATCTGGAGAAGGAAAATCGAGTGAACCCAGGAAAGAAGAATCTTCGAACTCGTTTGTGAGTGCTGAAGAAGATCCAGAAGAAAACCCATCAGAAGAATCTCGCAAAAATCCGAGGGAGAGTCTACGGACTAGCAAGAAAGATACAGTGGGTGATGAAATCCAAGAACTCGAAAGCCCAGAGGAGAAGATCCAAGAAACAGACGCGAAGATCCCAGAAGAACCGCAGGAAGGAAACCCTAGGATCGAAGATGAGTGCAAGGAAACTGAGGATCTACAAACCTCTCTGCCTCCAGAACAAGTTGATACGGGTAAACTTGATGAACTCTTTACTTACTCTACTAGAGATATAGAGGAAAGTTCGGATAGTGAGCTTAGGTTGATAAGAAAAAGAACAAGAAGGCGTGTAGATTTTGATAAGGATGTGAGTGTTGAGCATGTAGAATCTGGGAAGGATGTGGGTGATACATCCAAACAGATGGAGGAACTGCCCTCAGTTCAATTAGGGCAGGAGAAATCTAAGGATGCTGAAATCGAAGTGGTTGCGGACTCAACAACAGAGACAGAAGTGCTGAAATCAAAAGAGGATGATGAACTGAAGTGGACTCACGTGCACAAAAGGTTGAAAGCAAGAAACCTAAGGCAAAGATCGCTGAGAAAAAGGGCAAGAGTTCTGACTCTCGAGTGATAGCTGAACAGAGAGCACGGACCAGATCTCAGGTGGCTGCAAAACCAGTGGTGACTGCAAAAAATCCTCCTAAAAAGGTTCAAAGGAAGACAAAATCACAACCTGCCTTGGTGATTACTGAGCAAAAGACCCCTAAGAAACCTGAGAAGAGGAAGGCTGAACCAATAAAAGATATGCCCCGGGCAAAATCTTCAAAGATTTCTAAGGAATATCAAAAGGAGAAGATGAAGGGGAAAAGAAAACTTCAGGAAGAAAGTGAGATCCCCAGTTCCCCTTCTGGGTCAGAAGATGAGGAATTAATGGCAAGCCTGTGCATGTCTCATCACTTTGTTGATGAAAAATCTGAACAAAGGTTCAGTGACATGAAGAATCTCAACACGATTGTGGAGAGAAATATGAATGTCAGCAACCTCAAGGAGCAAGGGATATGGGACATCCTGGAACGTCTAAGTCTAGAAGAAACAGTCACCTATGCATGTCCACACAGCAAAATTCTGATCAAAGAATTTTATGCAAACATCACTAAGATGATTGTGAAGGCAGGAGATCCAATGTACCATAGGGTGTACATAAGAGGGAAGATACTGCATTTTTCTCTAGCAGTAAGCAACAAGTTTTTGGGCTTGAAGAACACAGTTATGACTACCATGGACGAGCTGGACAGGGAGATTGACCAGAAAGAGCTGGAGATAGCTCTCACTAACACTTTTGATGAAAAGAGGAAAGGAGAAATAACTCCAGTAGAGCTGAACTTCGAGGCTTCAATACTGTTCAAAATAGCCAGATCTAACTGGTTACCAACCCAGCGATCAAGTCTGATTCACAAGAGGCTAGCAGTACTCATCTACTGTGTAAAGAAAGGGATCAAGATCAACTATGGAAACATGATCTTCGATCATATTCTGGAGAGAGCACTGAACTTCAGAGCAAGGTTCAGACTACCTTATCCCTGCTTAATTCAAAGCATCCTCACTAAGCAGTGCCCAGAACTCATTGATCCAAAGCAGAACACCGAGGTGATTCAAAAACCTCTGGTGGTTGAGTTAAGAATCAAAAGGAAGAAGGGAAAAGGAAAGAAGGAATACAAGAAGATGCTGGAGACTCTCAAGGATGCAGAGAAAGCACTGATAAAGATGGAGCTCGGACTAAGGAAGCAGGCAACACACTGTCAGAAAATTCGTGCAACAGTCCACGAATACATCGAAGCAACCCTGAGTAATGTGTTCATTATTCGATCAGGTACTCCTCAACTTGATAATCTTGTTTGTTGATTATTTCATCCGTGCCCACAGGGGGAGAACTTGAGGAAGCAGAAGGAGGTTTCGACTCAGAAAAAGAAGACTCGAAGGAGGAGGATGAAGAACAGGATTCTGAGATGCCTAAGCTGACTCCTAAGAAGGTGGAGACATCAAAGAAGTCAGGAACGAGCAGGAAGATTAGGAGAGCCAGGAGTCCTTCCGATGTCTCATCCCTTCGTTTCTAACGTTTTATTGATGATCTGAACCTCTATGCTCTTGATGATTCTATGTGGTGAACTGAAGTCTTCTGTTAGTTTTTGGTAACCGGGTGTTTTGATGACTCTATGTGTTTCGCGTGATGACTCTGTTTTTGGTTAGCTTGATTTGAACTTTGATGAGATCAGTTGAAGGATTTGTGTTTGTGTGCATGATCTGAAACAACCAAAAAGGGGGAGATTGTTAGTGCAAGTATTTGCACGTGTTGTTTTGGTTGTTAAAAGGTTTTTGCAGGTTCAACAACTTATGAGAGATTTCAGGAGAAGATTCCGGCGAAGATAGCACTCGAACAAATCTGAGGTGCAACTGACGAGATTCAGATAGAGTCAAAGACCGAAGAGATAAAGTCTAAGGCTGAAGAGATAGAGTCAATAACAAGAGATAAGGCGAGATCCTGAAGATAGACACGAAATCAGCAAGAATCAAGGTGAAGTCTATCAAATCAATTCGTGAAGATCTGAGGCAAACTGGAGGAGCTTATATAAGGGAGACAAGATGCATATCAAGCAAGACAGAGAGCATGAGCATAACTTCTTAGTCTATTTCATTAAGTGAGTGTGTTCTCATTATTTGGTGAGTGCGAGTCTGAGAGGGAGACCGATTGGGCAAATCTCTTTTCTCTGGTGAGTGATTTATGTTGTGAGGTTTTTTGATCAGTAGAATTTATTGTGAGAGGGGAAGAAACTCAGGGGAAGTTTCGGGTGTGTGTAGTAAGTACGATTCTTACAACAAAAAGTGAGTTGTACTTGACTATCTTTCTCAAGTGAATAGAACTGATTAGTTTTCCGCATTACTCTTTGAGTGTTCAACTTTTTCAGAGGTAATTAAATTAAACATCAATATATGTAAAAATTGAATAAATCAAAGCATCGTCGAAAAGTGAGATAGACAATAAATCTCTTGGGTGACCTCGTCTTGGGTTGTTAAAGCAACATAAATACATATCCAACCCCAACATTCATATAGAGATTGTTACAGTATTGATAACATATATATATTAATATATTTTTTGTTGGTTTAGTGCTCTATGATGTACTGATTATGAGCTTTGTTCAGATACATTCGATGTATTGATACTTTCTATATGTTTTTTTATGAGAGTATTTTGTTCATTACATGTTCCTGCATGCTAGATCTGTTATGAAATCCATGTATCATTATGAATGATACTAAACTCCCTAGTCTTGTGTCATTATGGGAATAACGACATAATAAGACTAGTATGATGTGTGATTGATGATCACATAGATGATCATAGGTATTGGATACGATCACAATCATAGGTATTCGTTGCAGAACGGAATACTGGACTGACCCGCATGAGATTGTCACATGGACTAGCGTCATGACTTGAATCTCATACGACGATTCCATGATTGGATCCTAAGACCTGAGATATCTACAGAATCCAACATGAGGAGTTGCGTGCTGTGATTACGTCAAACGTCCTGCGTAAAAGGAGGACTATAAAGGCGTGTATCAGGTACGAAACGAATCATGTACTGGATTGTAGATAGTCAAGACGGGATTTGTACCTCTCGTAAAAGAGAGAGATATCGCTGGACCCCTCGTGTGAGCAAGACTGTAGAAATGTGTGGCCGCACTATAGACGAACGTCGTCTATTTCAGACAGTCGAACTCAGTGAACGAGAAAGCAGTCGAATCAGATAAGGTGGCTTGTCCATGCCTTATGTTCGACATATCATATCGCGATACAAAAGGATCAGAATCCTAATGGGATTAGGAATCCTATTATGTATAGGAATCCTAATGAGATTAGAATTCTATTACATCTAGGAAACCTAATGAGATTAGAAATCTAATAGGTTTAGGAAACCTAATTAGATTAGGATTCCTGGTAATCTATTCCTTGTTAAATTAGGATTTTGGAAAGTCTATATAAGGAGAATGTCTTCTAGGGTTTTAGAAAAAAAAAAGAGAAGAAAAAGGAGAAGAAAAAAAAAGAGAAGAAAAAGGAGAAGAAAAAAAA